CAGCAGCTGTATTTGTTTTGTTTCTTCTTCTTCTCAAGCCTCTTTCTAATTAATTAAATCTTTTTTTTCTTTTTTTCTAGCTTTTTTAAATTTTAATTTCTTATAGTTAGCGCGGGTCACCATAAACCCAAGCCTCTCCTCTCCTTACTAATTCTGTCATAGCAGCTGTTACTACAACGCATCGGGGGGGGGAAGGAGCGTTCCTCTTCTTCTCAGTTGTTTGAATTTGTTTAAACTGTTTATCTCTTTTTTTGCATTTCTATTTTGTTTTATTTACCCCGAAGCTGCTCCTAAAGCCACATTCTGACTCGTGTTGCGGCGCCTTCTATTCCTCCTGGCGGCGGGTTTATTAAAGGCTTTATTCTGTGTCTGCACGTCCCGCCCACATATCTTCTATCCTGTTCCCTTTTCCCTTTCTGACTGTGTTTGTGCGCTTGCGTTCTTGGTTCTTATTCTAGTGATATTCGGGGGCTTTAATACTATTTGGGTGACTTTGACTTGACAGGAAAAGAAAACAACCGCCACATCGAGAGCCACTTATCCCGGTGCTTCATTGCATCGACACCCCAGTAAGTAGCATGGCCCGCCGCGGCAAGAAGGCCTCAAACAGAGCCCTTAACAATGGGGGCCCTCGCGAACAGCAGCAACAGCAACAGCAGCAACAGCAACAGCAACAGCAACCCCAGGAGGAGGCTGCACAGGCCCCTGAACATCAGGTAGAGCTGGCGAGGCCTCTGCACCACGTCCAGGACACCCCAAAGCCTACTGGAGACCATGCGGGGGGCGTGGTGGGCCTATCTCCGACGATTGCATATTTCTGTCTCCTCATATTATCTCTGCTGTGCTGCCCACGACGTGCCCATCAACCGCCGCTGCTGCTGCTGCTGCTGCTGCGGCTGCTGCTGCTGGTGCCAGCTGCCTCCTCCCCTGGGACTCGGTAGGAGCAGGGAGCAGCCCAAGCCTGTGTCTTGTGCTCCTGCAGACAAGACGCCCGGAGGCGGACTACCCGCAGTATCTGAGGGAGAGAGCCATCAGCGCCCTCCTGGAGCTAGAAGAACGGGCCTATAGAAACTTCAAAGAAGCAGCCGCACTGGCTACTGCTGCAGGTCTTTATTCACAGTAGCACAGTAGCAGCAGCATTCCCAACAGAAACAGCAAGTGCAGCAGCAGCAGAAGCAGCAAAAACAGAAGGAGAAGCAGAAGCAGCAGAAGCGGCAGTTGCAGCAGCAACAGATGCAGTAGAAGCAGCAGTGGCAGCAGCAGCAGAAGCAGTAGTGGCAGCGTCATCGAAAGCAGTTGCAGCAGTAGCAGCATGCAGCAGCAGCAGCAGCAGCAGCAGCAGCAGCAGCGCAAACACCAAGCATAGATTTCCATCGTATCCTCGTGCCCCTTTGCTTAAGCTGCTGGTGGTTCAAGTGTCTTTTCCTTTCTATCTGTTATGATATCCCCCCATTGTGACTATTTTTTTATGATAATATAATTAAAAAAATATAATTAGTTGTATTACTATACCACTGTATTGTTATTATAATATAAAACAATAATAAAGTCAACTACACCAATACATTATTGTGTATATAAGATATACTCTATAGATATACATGTATATGTATGAATATATATACATATATATACATATATATATATATATACATATATATTGCATTTGCTTCTATGCTGGTGGTTCAAGTCTTTTCTCCGTTCTATCTATCACGCTACCCTCATATTATATTGTTTCATAGGAATTATATTATAAAGTAATTGTGTAATTACATCGTCATACTATCACACTATAAAAATAAAAGAATGTTATAATAATTTGATTAAATCATTATATTTCTATGAATATAATATATGTACAATATATATATATATATATATATATATATATATATATATATATATATATATATATAT